ACTTTGTGTCAATTTTTATTGTTTTCACTCGCCGGCGCCGGCTGCCCAAGTTGGAGCTGGAGCTGCCGTCTCTCGCACCCTTCCAGACTAGGGATGTGAAGGCCGGTAATATTACCGGTAAAAAACGGTATAATACGGTAAAATACGGTATTTTACGGAGACCCCGGTAAAATTGGTATTTTTCGGTAATTTTGAAATATTGACTTATTTGCCCTTCTTTTGCTTCCACACGATGAATTAGGACGTAGGGACTGAAAACAGCGCCCCTTGGGAACTCTTGGTTTGTATCTGCCCCTCGCGCCGCCCCATGTACGTGCAAGACATCATCTCTGGAAGTCAATGTTCTCTTCTTTTGCAAAACTTGTGGAAACTAAAATTTAACTACACGAGCCAAACCAGAAACTTTTTTGTTGCCAAGATAAGTATAATGTAAACTAACTTTAAACAGAAAATAGGAAAAAATAGGGGTAGATACTTGTAAGTTATTTGAGCTGAAAAATGCAATAAACATTGACACGATTGGACACCAAGGGGCCGCTGATGCCTTTCGGAAAAAAGAGTTTTCATGAGATCGAACCAACTTACATGGACAACGAGAAAAAAGGCAACATGTTTGCACTACAGTATATTTGGGCTGTTAATTTACGGTCAAAAGAACACGGCAGAATCAAAATTTATTCACAAAAAGGGAAAGTCCACAAAATTCAGACATTAGGGGGAGGGGTCAATAAGTCGGAGAATAGTTCATATCTTAAACACACAGTGTTTGGTCCTTGTCTTTCAAAATGCTTCATAGTTCTTGAGACATGTTGGCTTGGAAGTATGTATGAAACGATGTAACCGATACACCCTCACCCACGTACCTTCTTTCCCCCTATTTTTACTAGAGGTACCACAATTACCCCTAAAATTAAAGAAAAATCAATTTTACCCAATTTTACCGTATAATACGGTAAAATACCGTATTTTACCGTATTTTACGTAACTTTGAATCTTACCGGTATTTTAGCATCCCTATTCCAGACGCCCCGTGGCGCGAGAGAGACAGAGGGACGCAGCGACCCTCCGGAATGAGGCGGCTGCCCAAGTTGGAGTTGGAGCTGCCGTCTCTCTCGCACCCTTCCAGACGCCCCGTGGCGCGAGAGAGACAGAGGGACGCAACGATCCTCCGGAATGAGGCGGCTGCCTGCGGCTGCCTGCGGCTGCCCGAGGCGGTCGGCCGTTCCGGGCCGCGGTTTGCCGGCCGCGTCCGGAGCACTCTGCCTCTCTCGCGCCTAAGCGCCTGTGAGTGCGGAGCGAACAAAACGACTCTCAGACTGGCTTGGCCTGCACTCGGTGCAGCGCTCCCTTCTTGCGTTTGCTCCGCTTGCTCCGCTTGCTCCGCTTGCTCTGCTGCTGACATCCAGTAGCAGCGGTGAAGCAAGGCGGGGCAGGCCGGCCAGGCCTTGCCCCACCGACCCACCCTCGGCCTCGGCGCCGCGGGCCGCGCGCCGTGCAGTCAGCCGCAGCCTTCCCCGAGCCGCTCACTCCCCCAGCGCGGTCTATCTAGAGACATGATTATGATCGCACAGGGAGGAGGTAAAACGAAATTCATCCTCGAACGTCAGACTTCAATGCAAACACCACCATAGCGGGGCAATGCTACCCAATAATTCAATGCCAGGAAAAGTGGCGCAGTTGTGACTCGAAAAAACAGTTGGTAGTGCGACAGCTAGTGCGACTCGACGAAAGCAATGAAAGCAAACCGGCGCATGCATGCAATGCGATGCAATGTGGCGAGTGCAGAAAGTGGAGGCCAAGGGCGCAGAAGAAGAAGAAGAAGAAGAAGAAGAAGAAGAAGAAGAAGACGCAGCAGCAGGCCGCGATGTGAAGCAGATATCTCGGCAGGGGCCGGAAAGGGGGTTGGGGGGGGGGGGCAGGTGCATTCCAGCGCGGCGTGAAAGGAACACGGCGTCGTTTTCGTCAATATTGCCTCGGTGACCCACTTTAAAAAGCACTCAGCACGGCCCCGCGCCTCGATGGAGTTTGTCCAGGTCAACACCACCGAGGCCCGTCTTCGTCGTCGTCGCGGGCCGGTCCGCGCTGAGGCCTAATAGGCGCCTTCTTCGCTCTGTCTCTCTCGCACTCGTGGGGCGTCCTATCCAGGTGCGAGAGAGACGGAGCGGCGAAAACGACTCTTGGAATCAGCGTGCTGCTGCTAACTCTTGCCGCGGGAGTTTGTTGGCCACTCCAGCGGGGCGAGCGGGTCGTTCCAGTGGAGAGAGCAGCGCTGGAGCCCTGGAGCGCCGCGCCCGGCCGCGCCGTGAGTTGAGCTCATTGGTGGTTCAGCGGCAAGTTAGGACTCGCTGGAGTCGCTGGCTGGAGCAGTCATTGTCCGGCCGCGTCTGCGCGCGGCGTCTGGAGCGGAAACTAAATAGGAACCCGATGGGGCGGCGGGTGGTTTCGTTGGAGTCAGACGAAGCAGGACGGGGCGGGGCGGGGCGGCGGGCGGGGCGGTTGCTATATTCACGTCATGGGGAATGATGCACACTCGCACGCCCGCGTCCCGCGTCTATCAAGTGGATTTGAATATTTGTCCCGCGTCGGTGGCGGAGCGGAGCCACTCTGGAGGAAAATACTGCTATTATTTGTCGTCCGTCCTTCTTTGCGTGTGTGTGTGTGTGTGTGTGTGTGTGTGTGTGTGTGTGTGTGTGTGTGTGTGTGTGTGTGTGTGTGCCGCGACCGTGGCCGTGGTGGCGCGGCGGGCGGTCGGACAATCGAAACTCATTTCGGAAGCCACAAGTTGATTCAAGGTCGGGGGCGTGGAGGCGGCGGTGGCGGCGGTTCGCGGCGCGTTCGCCAGACGCTGCGCGGAGCGGAGTGGAGTGGGGTGGTCGGCGTGTCGGCGTGTCGGCGTGGGCGCTGCCGACCTGCTTGGCATGCAGAGTTAAATGATTGAGCAGGCCAGGTACAAAAGCGCGGGGCGGCGCGACCCCGGCGACACACGGCGACAATGGGTCCCGAACAGAATGGGACCTCGGCCTGCCTCGCCCTGCCTCGCCCTGCCTCGCCCTGCCTCGCCCTGCCTCGGCCTGCCTCGCCCTGCCTCGCCCTGCCTCGCCCTGCCTCGCCCTGCCTCGCCCTGCCTCGCCCTGCCTCGCCCTGCCTCGCCCTGCCTCGCCCTGCCTCGCCCTGCCTCGCCCTGCCTCGCCCTGCCTCGCCCTGCCTCGCCCTGCCTCGGCCTGCCTCGGCCTGCCTCGCCCTGCCTCGCCCTGCCTCGCCCTGCCTCGCCCTGCCTCGCCCTGCCTCGCCCTGCCTCGCCCTGCCTCGCCCTGCCTCGCCCTGCCTCGCCTGCCTCGCCCTGCCTCGCCCTGCCTCGCCCTGCCTCGCCCTGCCTCGCCCTGCCTCGCCCTGCCTCGCCCTGCCTCGCCCTGCCTCGCCCTGCCTCGCCCTGCCTCGCCCTGCCTCGCCCTGCCTCGCCCTGCCTCGCCCTGCCTCGCCCTGCCTCGCCCTGCCTCGCCCTGCCTCGCCCTGCCTCGCCCTGCCTCGCCCTGCCTCGCCCTGCCTCGCCCTGCCTCGCCCTGCCTCGCCCTGCCTCGCCCTGCCTCGCCCTGCCTCGCCCTGCCTCGCCCTGCCTCGCCCTGCCTCGCCCTGCCTCGCCCTGCCTCGCCCTGCCTCGCCCTGCCTCGCCCTGCCTCGCCCTGCCTCGCCCTGCCTCGCCCTGCCTCGCCCTGCCTCGCCCTGCCTCGCCCTGCCTCGCCCTGCCTCGCCCTGCCTCGCCCTGCCTCGCCCTGCCTCGCCCTGCCTCGCCCTGCCTCGCCCTGCCTCGCCCTGCCTCGCCCTGCCTCGCCCTGCCTCGCCCTGCCTCGCCCTGCCTCGCCCTGCCTCGCCCTGCCTCGCCCTGCCTCGCCCTGCCTCGCCCTGCCTCGCCCTGCCTCGCCCTGCCTCGCCCTGCCTCGCCCTGCCTCGCCCTGCCTCGCCCTGCCTCGCCCTGCCTCGCCCTGCCTCGCCCTGCCTCGCCCTGCCTCGCCCTGCCTCGCCCTGCCTCGCCCTGCCTCGCCCTGCCTCGCCCTGCCTCGCCCTGCCTCGCCCTGCCTCGCCCTGCCTCGCCCTGCCTCGCCCTGCCTCGCCCTGCCTCGCCCTGCCTCGCCCTGCCTCGCCCTGGACAAAGCCGAGAGGCAGGCGCGACTCCCCCGGACTACGCACCACCGCGACGCGCGACGCGCCGCCGCCGCGGTCGCAACCTGCGCAACACCACCAAATTACAACAATGGAGAAGCGAGAACGTGGCTCTCCGAAACCGACAACTGAACGTGCCGCCAAAAAAAAAAAATAGCTAAAAATTCCAGTTGAAAATTCCAGTTGAAAACGGAATTTAAAAAAAAAACTGAGGAAGAAAAGGTTACACTATAGGACTGTGTTGATAATCTGAAAGTCTTAGAAGACCAAACTGTAAAACTTAAAAGCTCAACAAGCGTCATCAGTAAATTTTATTTTATAATGCAAAACCGTTGGAGTTGAACTTAGTTGCCGACAGGCAGCCCCTCGCGTGTCGGCCTGCCCGCCTGCCCACCGGCCGTGCCTGCAAATCGAACCCGCCCAGCCCAGAAAGTGAGAGCCTTCCCTTCCCATCGACCGGCGGAGTGCCTCGGCATGTGCCGCCCGCGTCGCACGGCGGCCATTCTTGAGATTCGGGTTCGGGTCGCATGTCTCCGCCGTCGGTGCGTCGCCGACCGTGCTTCCGACGCCGTCTCCCTCGCGGGGCGTCCCGCGGTGCGAGAGAGACGGAGAGTGCGGCACGACGAGAGGCCCGGACAGGGCAATAATTATCCTGCCGTCCGAAAGCTCAACTTGTAACTCAATATTGACTGGCGGCAAAGTTGGGGCAGCTGTTAGGGCCGGCGATGTCCTGGCTGACTCGCCTGCAGGCGGCAGCGCGGCAGGCAGGCTGCAGTGCTGCAGCGCCCTGCGAAGAACTTGCTCCTGCAGAACGACACTGACTCACTGCCTTTCTGTTGCAGGGCTTGTGGCGATGTTCTCCCGACGGCGATTCGTGACACCATGAGCGAGTGGCCGACACCCGACTACGAGCCTCCGGAACATGTGTTCAGTGTCAATAGTGAGTACGCCACCTGCCGCAGCCTGGAGCCTCCAGGGAATGCTCCAGGGAATGCTCCAGGGAATGCTCCAGGGAATGCTCCAGCGCGCCGCGGTGCGGCTTTCCCGTCTCGCTTGCTCCTGCTGCTGATGACGCCCTTGCCCCCGTTCCGAGACACCCCCACCCCCACCCCCACCCCCAACCCCAACCCCAACCCCGCCCCGCGCGCGTCGGTGCATTAAAGCGAGACTATAGTAACACTGGTAAAATTGGGACAAGGCAGGCCATCAGGTCCTTGAGGCCCTAGCTCTCTCTGTCTCTCTCTCCAACTCTTTTATCTCCCTCGACTCTCTCTCCGCCTGCACGGCGGCCTTCTCGTGCTGGACACAGTTTGCTCCCGCGCCTCAAAGTTCCAGCGGCTCGGCACCGTTCCGTCGCCAGGTAATGGTGCATGAACGGGCACCGAGCGTCCGTGTGTATGTGTGTGAGTATGTGTGCTAGTGTGAGTGTTTATGTGTGCGGTCTGCAGCCAGCGAGGCGTCCCCGTGTTTGATGCGAAAGCTCGGGCGTGTTTGAGGCCGCCCTGCCGCCGCCCCTCCTCGCCGTCCTCTCGCCTCTGGGCCCCGGATGCAACGACAGACGGCCCGCCGGTCCAGAAGTGCCAGGAATACACGTGACCTTGGCAAGCTGACCGATTTTCGCCGCCGCTGGATGAGCTGGGTCAGTGGCCTTCCCTTCCCCTCAGCCCCACTCCGCGCGTCGCGCCACCCCGGGAAGCCGCCGTCGTCGACGCCGTGGTCGCGGGGTCCGCGGCCGGCACCGCACCCTTGACCGCCGCGTCGAGTGACACTGCCGCCGCCGGCCGCTCCACTTGCAAGTTGGTAAGCGTGTTGCGCCAGTGTCGCGTGCGTTCGTGCGCGGCGATGACGCCCAAAGTCCTGCAGCACGCGAGACTGTTGCCAAACTGGGGGACGTCGGCGGGCGTTGTCGACGGTGACGGCGGAAGGGAGGGGGAGACAGTGGCCGGCCGCGCGCGTGGGGCCTGCCCAGGCCTGCCCAGGCCTCGGGGGATGTCGTCATCGCGGTGGTCTGTCTCCGCCCACGGTCCGTCCGTCCTGCAAGGCCCTGGAAGGCCCTGGAAGGCCCTGGAAGGCCCTGGAAGGCCCTGGAAGGCCCGGGAAGGCCCTGGAAGGCCCGGGAAGGCCCGGGAAGGGCGGCCAGACTGAATGGCGCCCGATTTGTGGTGCCTCGGGGAGCCGAAACCAATCATCAAAGTTTGCCAGCCCGTTCGTCCCCGTCCCCGGGCCCAGAACACCCAGAACCCCGACCGGCCGGCCGCCGCCGCCACCCACTCACACGAAGGTTGTTTGGTTTGTCTTGGGCGACGCACGGCCGCACGGCCCGGCGAGGGCGCGGCGTGCGTCTGACCGGTGCGGCGGTGCGGGGGGTCTTCGGCGGGCCGGGCGTTCCAGGCGCACTCCCCGTCCACCGGGGAAGTGCGGGGGCTGGCAAGCCACGTGCAACACGGCAGCGCCCCGCACGGTGAGGCCTGGCAGGCCCGCCCGGCCCGGTCTGGACCGGCGCCGAGACCACTAGGCCGAGGACAGCCACGCAGGCAGATGGCCCGGACAGTGTAAGTGCCTGTCACGGGCAGGTGGCCAGCCAGATGACCCGAGCGGAGCGGGACGCCGCGCATAAAAAAGAAGCTGAAAGGGTTTGTAAGCGGCAGGGATCGATCGACAGACTTATCAAACCCGTGCCGTGCATGGGGCCACCCGGAGAGCTCTGCTGGCTGCAGTTTCGCGCGTCGGGTCGTCGGGACCCTCCCCCCTCCCTACCACCACCACCACCACCACCACCACCACCACCACCACCACCACCACCACCACCACCACCACCACCACCACCACCACCACCACCACCACCACCACCACCACCACCACCACCACCACCACCACCACCACTACCACTACCACCACCACCACCACCACCACTACCACCATCACCACCACGGCTCCATTCCCATATCTCGGCCGATCAGTGCTTGTTGTTCGGAGCTCAACGCCCCACAGCTGACTCGCCTCATAAGACGCTGCAACTCACGCGGCGCCGAGGAGAACCGAGGACCAAGGTCAGCGCAAAGGGCGGGGCGGCATGCTGTCGGGCGGCGGGGAGAGATAGCGGTGACAGGGAGGGAGATAGCGGCGACGAGGATGGAGATAGCAGAAACGACATGTGCGAATATACAAGTCGCTTTGCGAAGCCGCAAAAATTTACTTGGAACAGGGGTGAAGAGTTACTCGACCACAAGTATAAATTATCCTTTCTCCGAGTAAATTGTCTTGTGTCAAGATTTTTTTTCTGAGTGTCGAGTGCTGGCTTTCTTGTCCGTCCGACGTCCGTGTCACGCGTCGGACGGGCGGCGGAGTCCGACGGAGTGCTCCAGGGCTGACAGCCGCGCGGGGGACTGACTGGCATACGCCATTTTTAATTCACGCCATTCGACTCTCTCGCCTCCCCCCGCCCCGACGTGGCGCAGGCAGCCGCAGGCAGCCGCAGGCAGCGCACACGTGCCGAGGCGGGACGCTCTCCGAGCTCTCCGACAGTCCTGCACCGCCCGCACGGCCCGCACACACAAGCAGCAGCCAGCGGCAGCAGCGCCAAGGACACGCGGAGGGCGGCGCCGTCAGTGCAAACTTTTTCTCCCTCGCTCTCTCTTTTTTATAAATGAATTTGTAGTGACCAGCTCTGGCAAGGCTTGCTTCGAGGAACCAGAGGGATGGACTCGAGGGACAGCGCGCCAAGCCGAACCCCCGGCGAGCCCCGCGCGTCGCCATGAGGTCGCCGTCGTGTTTCGGCCTTCGGGCGCCTTCGGGGCCGCGGCCGCAGAGACGCCGAGGTCCCCGCGCTCCCATGAAGGCGGTCTCCCTGGTCTCTCTCTCTCTCCCTCCCCTCGCACCCACTGCCCCGGACGGCTGTCCTTTTCCCTGGCGGTGCTCGACGGCCACCCTCTCTCCGTGACCGTGACCGTGCCCCGGCGTCCTGGCAGCATCCGCTGCCCCGGGCAAACATCTTCTTCTTTAACGAGGGCTTCCCTCCGCGGCCTCGCCTTGCTCCGCCTTGCCACCCTCGTCGATACACAATACACATCGCTACACGCAGCGCGCCGGGGCGCCCGCTGGTGCTCGACGAAGCCGCGCCCCTTTTCCTCGATGAAGGCCGTTATCAAGCCGCCCAGGCCGGACACGTTACAGCACTGCCCCCAGGCGTGGCGACGCCGCGACGCGCAGCACCAGGCGAGGCACCAGGCGAGGCACCAGGCGAGGCACCAGGCGAGGCACCAGGCGAGGCACCAGGCGAGGCACCAGGCGAGGCACCAGGCGAGGCACCAGGCGAGGCACCAGGCGAGGCACCAGGCGAGGCACCAGGCGAGGCACCAGGCGAGGCACCAGGCGAGGCACCAGGCGAGGCACCAGGCGAGGCACCAGGCGAGGCACCAGGCGAGGCACCAGGCGAGGCACCAGGCGAGGCACCAGGCGAGGCACCAGGCGAGGCACCAGGCGAGGCACCAGGCGAGGCACCAGGCGAGGCACCAGGCGAGGGCACCAGGCGAGGCACCAGGCGAGGCACCAGGCGAGGCACCAGGCGAGGCACCAGGCGAGGCACCAGGCGAGGCACCAGGCGAGGCACCAGGCGAGGCACCAGGCGAGGCACCAGGCGAGGCACCAGGCGAGGCACCAGGCGAGGCACCAGGCGAGGCACCAGGCGAGGCACCAGGCGAGGCACCAGGCGAGGCACCAGGCGAGGCACCAGGCGAGGCACCAGGCGAGGCACCAGGCGAGGCACCAGGCGAGGCACCAGGCGAGGCACCAGGCGAGGCACCAGGCGAGGCACCAGGCGAGGCACCAGGCGAGGCGGCACCAGGCGAGGCACCAGGCGAGGCACCAGGCGAGGCACCAGGCGAGGCACCAGGCGAGGCACCAGGCGAGGCACCAGGCGAGGCACCAGGCGAGGCACCAGACGAGGCACCAGGCGGTCCTCGGACGCCCCTTGCCGGGATAGTTGGGAGGTGCGTCATAACGGGACTCTTGACGCGCGCGCGGTCGTGGGCGGCGCCCCTTGCAGCAGCAGGGCGGTGGGCGGGGCCCACGTCGGGGACCACCATGGTGGGGCCCAGCGCCCAGCAAGCACTGGGTGACGCCGCAAGGGCCCGCGCCCGGCAGAATTAGGATTAAGCCTCGACGTCGAAGTCTTCAGCCGCTCGGATCGGAGTAATTATCGCCGTGGCACCTCGAAGGGACCCTCCCCTTCCCCTCCATTCTCCCCCTCCCCCTCCGCTCCCGTTCGGTCGGTACACAGACAGGCCGCTAATTACAACGAGGCGGGCGGGAAAGTCTGTTCGTCTCGGCGCCATGCAGCGCCGCCGGCAGCCCGCTCGGCCGCCACGCCTTCTGTCGGCTCGCTTCCGCGGAGCGCGTCCCCAACGACTCCCCCCACCCCCCACCTTCCCACGGGGGGGCCCTTTTCCAGTGGCGACACAAAGGACGCCTTAGCAGCCAGGGACCGCCAGGGACACCGAGGGAGTGGATGTCGGTGAATACGTGAAGCACCGAGTCAGGCCGGCCGGCGAGCGCCCGCGGACTGCGGCGTAGGCAGCACCAGGCCACCGCCGTGCGGCGGGTTGCCTATCCCGGACTCCGCGGGCGCTCTCGGCACGGCTACGCACCTCGAAGCTGCAGAAAATTGCTTTCGTTCTGCTTTCGATCCCACTATACCACCTAATTTGCGCTCCTTTCAGAATTTTAATGTGCTTGGCTCGGCGTGCATCGCTCTGCGTCCCCGCGGTGGCCATCGCTCACACCCGCGACCCGCGTCGTGCGCATGGGAACGCACTTCGCGTCGCCGAGTGCCGTGGCCGTGGCCTTGGGGACGCCGTCAAGGCCACGCCGCCAAGGCCACGCCGTCACGGCCCCGCCGCCGCGTCCGTGTCCAGGCGGGAGTTGCGTCATGTTTCATGCACG